AACACTTATTCTGAACGACTACTCTTATGGTTGCGACAAAAGTTCGTTTTCAAGAATAAGTTTATCCATACTGTAATTATTTCAATCGCAGCTGTATAAACAGACGTAGCTTCTCAGCTATCTGGTACAAAAGCAGACAAAAATTTTTTTAAAGTATCCAGCAAAAAAAATTATTATCAAGAATCACTAAACAGTATTACTTTAATAATATCTATTTAGTAAAAAATTTTTTTTAGGGTATACGAAACAGTATGATTTTATTCCAGTGATGTTTCTACAGTTGATAACATTATTAGTGCTAAATTTACTCCACTGAATTTGGAGCATTACAGAAAACTAGACTGGCAATAAATAACTAAATAATAATAATCATTTTTTTTTTTGAGTTTTCTTCAAGAGCCTTAAATTGAGATCAAATAGAGAGGACTAAAGCAAGAAAAGTGCTGTATTAAAGAATACAGAGCACCGCTCGGCTGAAGGCAAATCCACCTCCACAGGCATGGAAACCAACAGGCATACAGTGAGCAAAGTGGTTGACAATAACGAGTGACATCGCTGCTGTGGAAAAGTGCTAAACAGATGTGAAAAGCTCAGGAAAGATTGAACAAATAGTCAGATAGGAGGTAAAAAAAGATGCTGTCTGCTTTGATACTACAAACTTCGAAGCTACAGCTGCTATTGGTAGAGCGAGTATTGTTTAAAGAAACTGAAAAAAGTTTTGAGGATCTTCCAGTTTTATCTTTAATTCTCTGATTCCTTTGCAACAGAAAAAAACCCAACAGTAGACAAAAAAAATTGAGAAAATCAACTCGGTAGAAAAAAAGCTCACACTTCAGGATAAACTTATTGAAATCATTCAGCCTTTCCTCAGTTCATCGTCTGCCTTAGAACTGAGTGGTCTTCAGCGTTAACCATGGCTATGGATGTTGAAAACGATCCAGGATGGAAGTACCTGAGACGAAGTCGGGAGCAGATAATCGAGGTTAATTGCGTAATTTGTTTTAGTAATTTCTAAAAACCAGAATCTATTTTAAGACCTCTCTAATATTACTGTAGCAACAAATAAAATTCTCAAACCACAAATGCTGCTTATTCCTATAAGGCAGCCTCCTTATTACTGCCAGCTTAATAAACACTTCTGTTGTGAACTGTATGATGCGATAAGCGTTATCTATCAATGAGGTATTCAAATCAAAAAACATTTCACTATTACAACAGCGGAAATTGAGTGTAAAAGATAGCAAACTACATTCCTTAAAAAAGAAATTCTTTTAAACAGAATTTTCCTCTCAAATTAATGCTGGAATTCAGGATCAATCTGCTCCGTATGATTCAAAAAAGAATTGCTGGATACCGGATAAAGAAGAAGGTTATATAGATGCTGAAATTGTTGAAACAAAGGGAGATCAAGTTGTGGTTATGTCCAATGGACAACAGGTTTGGTTCACAGATTGCTATCAAACTTTTATTTGAGCTTTCTCATAGACCACAGCTGCAACAGCACAGCTCACTTAACTGTGCGCAAACAAACTGTTAAAGTGTTGTTTGCAAAAGGCTATTGCTTGTCGGCAAACTCATTAATAAAGTTTATGCTCTTCATCTGCTGAAGCGACAAAACGAACAAATTTTAGGATGAAAAGTTTCAAGTCTGAAGTTTTATTAATTCTGATTTAAAAGTAACTATCATTCTACAGTAGTACTTTTATCGTACTAAAGTATGACTAAACAAATTTTTCCACTTGTCATTTTTTTTTTTTGCTGATATCACATTCCTCATTTCAGTAACAAAATTAAGACTTTTATCAATCTTTTCAAAATTTTCCAATAATTAAAGAGCAGTAAAACTCTTCGTGTAAAAAGCAAAAAACATTGCTAAAATTGACTCTTTTTCAATATACCCCTATTTTTTGCTTATTCGCTTCACTTTCTCTAACGCTTAAATGTACTTCAACTTCCTAAAATACTTTTCTGCTTACTCTGTTTTTTTTTGCTCAGAATTCTGCTTAAACAGCTTTTGTTAACAGTTATACTTTCCAAGAAGACATTAATAAGTTTTCAAATTAAGTGAACTGAACAAAAAATTTACCTTCATTCAAAATTTTTTAAAACTGTCAAAAGCAATAGTTAAATTCCATTTACAGCAACTTTTTCCACAATTCAAAAGTGTAGTTTTTCCTTGTATTTATTATAATAACAAAAAAAAAAGATAAAGGTAAAAAAAAGAAAGCAAAGCAATCATTCTGTTTAACATAGACTACTAAATGCCGTCCAAGAAAAATGAACTCTACTCGAGAACTCTGCTGGCGTTAGAAAGTTTGCTGCTTAAACCACTCGAAAGTTGCCACAAAAACTGCTAAGTTGTTTACTGCATAGACAGTTGGAACCATCAAAGACAGAATCAAAGCTGCTAAAAAAAATATCGCACTCTTAAAAGTTAGAAAAAAATTTTTATGATTAACTTGAAATCAATTTTTTCTTTCTTTTCATCTTTTTTTTTTCTTCCAAATTTTAAGCAAAAACAACAGATACGGTTCGAAATAAAAATTGAAAGTTATGGTCATTACGGTCAGTAGGAACATTATCGCATCTAAATTTCTCTATTCTAACGCCATAAATTATGTTTTTTATTTGTATAATCAACTTAGATCTTCGAAAAAGATATAGTCAAGTGCAGTGACATAATCAACAAGAAAAAATGATTAACTGGAAGAACTGAATGCACTTGACAGTTACAAAAAAAGACAGTTATTAACAGTTCATCAATAATTAAAATTATTTTGTTTTTTTTTACAGAAATGTTTGAAACTGATACTCAAAAAAGTAATTGATAAAAAATGCGTATATCGATCATTTTGAGAATCCTGAACAGATTTAAATAATAATTTAAAAAATTTTTTTTCTTACTTCACTGTATCGGTTACATAAAAACAATTACCAATCAATAATTCTATAATTTCAGAAAACACTGAAAGCAGATTTAATCAGTCAAATGAATCCACCAAAGTTTGAAAAAACTGAAGATATGTCAAATTTAACATTCCTTAATGACGCATCTGTCCTTCATAACCTGAGAGCCCGTTACAAAGCTATGCTGATTTATGTAAGTTAGCCATCCAAATTCAAATTTTCAAGGACTAAAACTTATACCATCACTCTGACAAAGTATACAAAGCGATGTAATCTACACCAAAAAAAAAATTATCCACTACAGACAATCATCAATACGACCCTCAACCTTTGTAGCTAATCTGACTTTCTTGCTCTCAATTTCAGACCTATTCTGGACTATTCTGTGTTGTAATCAATCCATACAAACGTCTTCCAATTTATACAGATTCAGTCGCACGAATGTACATGGGAAAGCGAAGAAATGAAATGCCACCACATCTTTTTGCAGTCTCAGATGAAGCTTACCGTAACATGTTACAAAACCACGAAAATCAGTCTATGCTGATTACAGGTGAATCCGGTGCTGGTAAAACAGAAAATACAAAAAAGGTTAGATTAAAAGAATATCAAATCTATCAATTAAAACTATAAATTCTGAGATATTTGTCTACCGTAAAAAATTTTAAATATAAATTTAAGACAGTAAAGAACAGATATTAATAAGCTGCTGCTCTCTTCACAAAATTTTTGAATCTAATCAACAAACCTGAAAAAGACCCCAGACATTAGTTTTTTAAAAACGTAGTTTACACGCACTGCAACTACTTATTTACATAATCTGAATTGAATAATATTTTCCAGCAACTCTTATCGTCCCTTAGCATTTTGAGCAAGATTTTTAATGTGAAGCTACATTAGAAACAATGTTCAGGTTATTGCCTATTTCGCATCCGTAGGTGCAAGCCAACAAGAGGCTGCTGCTGGCGAAGCAACAACGCAAAAATCTGGAGAAAAGAAGGTCACACTAGAAGATCAAATTGTTCAAACTAATCCAGTTCTTGAAGCTTTCGGTAATGCAAGAACAGTGCGTAATAACAACTCCTCGCGTTTTGGAAAATTCATCCGTATTCATTTTTCAAAATATGGCAAAGTTGCATCTTGCGATATTGAACATTGTATGTTTTTGAATTAGTCATTACTCAAAGACTATAAAGTTTATAAAAAGGTAAAGAAAACTTTTTTGCAAATCGATTTTTAGACCTTCTGGAGAAGTCTCGTGTAATCAGGCAAGCACCAGGTGAACGGTGCTACCATATTTTTTACCAAATGACCTCAGATTTGATACCTGATCTCAAAGAAAAGCTGCTGCTCGACCGGCCAATGCGTGATTACTGGTTCGTCGCGCAAGCAGAATTGACTGTTGATGGTATGGATGATAAAGAGGAGTTTGCATTAACTGATGAGGCGTTCGATATTCTACACTTCTCCGCAGAAGAAAAACTGAACTGCTACAAGTTGATGTCAGCACACATGCATCTCGGTATCATGAAATTTAAGCAAAGACCACGAGAAGAACAAGCTGAACCAGACGGAGTTGATGAAGCCGAAAAAGTTAGCTCAAATAACCCTTGTTTTGCATCCCTACACCCACCTTGAAAATGTGCTCAAAAGATGCATTTCAAAAGTCAGAAATGTAATTCCTCAGGTGTGAGCAGAAATAATGCACCTTTCTAAGAATTACAAGAACTTCAAACCAAAAACAACTGTATTTTGGGCAAAATTAAGTGATTCATAAACAGAATCATATAGTTACTCGCAACAAATTACTCAGCAATCTGAAAGACTGTTCTGCCATATCCAAAAAAAGGAACTAAAGTTCTTGATTTCAGGCAGCGGCCATGTATGGAGTAGATACCGAAGAACTTCTGAAAGCTTTCACTCATCCTCGGGTAAGGGTAGGAACTGAATGGGTCAACAAAGGTCAAAACGTAGACCAAGTAACCTGGGCTCAAGGTGCTATGGGAAAAGCTATTTATGCTCGAGTATTCGGCTGGCTTGTAAAGAAATGTAATATCACCCTAGATCAAAAAGGTGTCCCCCGAGACTACTTCATAGGTGTATTAGATATTGCAGGCTTCGAAATTTTCGATGTAATTTTACAACTATTTCTAAGTTTTTCATTTCTTTTGTCCATCAGCAATGAATTTCATCATAATTAAGATACAAATTCCACTATTTTCAGTTCAACTCGTTTGAACAGCTATGGATCAACTTTGTAAATGAAAAGCTGCAGCAATTCTTTAACCACCACATGTTCGTACTGGAACAAGAGGAGTATGCTCGTGAAGGTATCAACTGGACATTCATTGATTTCGGCCTTGATCTGCAAGCGTGCATTGAACTTATTGAAAAACCTATGGGAATTATTTCAATGCTTGACGAAGAATGCATCGTCCCAAAAGCAACTGACATGACACTAGCTCAGAAACTTAATGAGCAACACTTGGGTAAACACCCTAACTTTGAGAAACCAAAGCCACCAAAGGGTAAACAGGCAGAAGCTCACTTTGCCATGCGGCACTACGCCGGTGTCGTACGATACAACGTTACGAACTGGCTAGAAAAGAACAAGGACCCTCTAAATGACACTGTTGCAGCTTGTCTTAAAGCTTCAAAAGAAAATGCACTTTTGAATGAAATCTGGGCAGACTACACCACACAAGAGGAAGCAGCAAACGCAGCTAAAAGTGGAGGTGGCGGAAAAAAGAAGGGAAAATCTGGTTCTTTCATGACAGTGTCTATGCTATACCGTGAATCTCTGAACAGTTTAATGGGTATGCTATATAAAACCCACCCCCACTTTATCCGCTGCATTATTCCAAATGAGAAGAAAACTTCCGGTCTTCTGGACGCTGCTCTGGTACTGAACCAACTGACATGCAACGGTGTACTTGAAGGCATCCGTATTTGCCGTAAAGGATTCCCTAACAGAACTTTACACCCAGATTTCAAAGAACGTTACGCCATCCTCGGTCCGTTAGAATCAAAGTGTAGTGAAGATCCAAAAGAATGTGCAGTAAAGATGCTGGACAGACTTGTTAGTCAAGGCGACTTAACAGAAGAAAATTACAGAATTGGACATACTAAGGTAAAATACAGTGACAATATTAATTACTCAAACCTGTTGATTGAGATAAAATGCGTAAAAAAATACCAAGTCTGAGAGAAGTATTTTTTGTTTAAGCGTATTCCCAAACTCCAGTTTCAGGTGTTCTTCAAAGCTGGTGTGTTGGCTCACTTGGAAGACCTTCGGGATGAGCGACTCGCTTATCTAATTGCTGGATTGCAAGCTCAAATTCGTCAATACTGCATACAGGTGAGACATCAATAAAAAAGATGTTTAAACCCCCTTGACTCCTAAACCATCGATAATACGCTAAAAATATGGCCTACAAGCAATATTTTTAGATTGACCTGAAAGAAAGACGAGAAGTGTACGCAGCCACAAAGGTTATCCAATATAACGCTAGAGACTGGATCACTTTGAGAGAATGGCGATGGTTTAAAATTTATGCCAGCGCGATGCCGCTGGTACGTGCTAGCAAAGTGGAAGAGATCCTTGAACAACTTAAGGTTGACATTGTTGATGTAGAGAAGAAACTGGAAGAAAAGAAGAAAGACACCGCAGGCCTCAAAGATGTCCTTCAAAGCGCACTAGACGAAAAAGCTGCAGTGATACAGGAAATCAAGAACTCTCGTTCCGGAAACACAGAAGCTGAAGATCGCATTGACCAGCTGCAGGAACTGCAAAAAGAACTAGAAAGTACAATAGCAGAAGCAAATCAAAAACTGGAAGATGAATGCAAAAGAACATCAGATGCTCAAGAGGAGGTCCGAAAAACAGAAGAGGAATTAGATGCAATTAAAAAATTAATGCAAGACACTGAGTTAGGCAAAAGAAAGATGGCTTCTGAGAAAGCTGCAAGAGATAACCAAATTCGTGCTCTACAAGAAGAAGTGGCTCAGCAAGACGAGACGATCGCCAAATTGACAAAAGAGAGGAAACACCAAGAAGAAAAAGCCAAGAAGATGGCAGATGATATGAAGTCCGAAGAGGAAAGAAACGAACAAGCTAATCGCGTCAAAGCAAAACTTGAGCAAAATTTAGAAGAACTTGAAGACAGTATTGCTAGAGAAAAGAGAGCACGTCAAGATGCAGAAAAAGCAAAACGTAAAGCCGAAGGGGATTTCAAAATCGTCCAGGAAACCTTAGATGAGTTGAATAAGCAAAAACGGGACATAGAAACGAGTTTTAAGAAGAAAGATGCCGAGTGTCGTGCAATCGAGACCAGACTTGATAACGAGCAAAAACTGATAGCTCGTGTCACCAAACAAGCGAAAGATGAAGAAGCTCGCATCCAAGAACTCGAGGAGGAACTATCTAACGAGCGGGATGCACGTTCTAGATCCGAGCGAGCTAAGTCCGAACTTCAAAGTGAGCTTGAAGAAATGAATGATCGTTTAGACGAGCAATCTCGTGCAACGGGAACACAAATCGAGACTGGGAAAAAGCAAGAGGTCGAGATTGCAAAACTTAGACGAGACCTAGAAGAAGCAAAAATGACACAGGAGTCTGCGCTAGCAAGTACAAGAAAAAGAAATATTGATGGCATTGCACAGCTAAATGAACAGCTAGATGATGTGAAAAAAACCAAAATCAAGGGAGAAAAGGAAAGAGCTCTTTTCCAGAAACAACTTGATGATATTACTGCACAGCTCGACGCAGAAACTAAAGCTAAAGTTGATCGCGAAAGAGCAATTAAAAATTATGAAGAAAGAATTGCAGATCTCCAGGCGAAATCAGAAGAGCAAGCAAGACAGCTTCAAGAGTTAACTTCACAAAAAAATCGCCTGCACAATGAAAACAGTGATTTTGCGAGACAGGCAGACGACCTTGAAGAACAACTTGCAGCTATGACAAAGGTTAAAGCGCAGTTAGTCACCCAACTAGAAGAAGCGAAACGAAGCGGCCTTGAAGAAACTCGTGAACAACAAAGTCTTAATGCAAACGTCAAAAACTTGCAGTTGGAGGTTGACCAACTTCGAAGTTCACTTGACGACGAAATTGAAAGCAAAAGCGAATTGATACGACAGCTAGGCAAAGCCAATCTAGAAATTCAACAGTGGAAAGCTAAATTTGAAGAACAAGGCTTTGTTCCTGCTGACGCGGTTGAGGACATCAAGAAGAAGCAGCAGTCCAGTGTATTGGAACTTGAAGAAGCGCTGGATGCAGCCAATTCAAAACTTGCTGCCCTAGAAAAGATGAAGACTCGCTTCAGCACTGAAGCCGATGAAGCACATACCGAAGCAGAGCGGCACCTCGCAACAATTGCTCAATATGATAAAAAGCAAAAAGCTTTTGATAAAGTTATCGAAGAATGGAGGAAAAAGGTTGATGACCTCAACAGCGAACTTGACGCTGCACAGAGAGAGAGCCGTAATGCTTCCACTAATCTGTTCAAAGAACAAGCAGCTAACGACAGTCTCAGTGTACAGATCGAAGGTCTTAAACACGAAAACAAAAACCTGTCGCAGGAAATAAGAGATCTGCAGAATCAGTTGGCAGATGGAGGGCGAAATGTACATGATATGCAGAAAATGATTCGACGACTAGAAGTTGAAAAAGATGAACTTCAGCGTTCGCTTGACGAAGCTGAAGCTGCGTTAGAGGCTGAGGAAAGCAAAGTTGCTCGTGCACAGTTAGAGGTTAGCCAAATAAGGGCAGAAATTGAAAAACGAATTCAAGAGAAAGAAGAAGAATTTGAAAACACGAGGAAAAACCACCAACGTACCATTGAAGTCATGCAGGTATGTCTCACTTTAGTACAAATAAGATATCCTTAATAGTGAAGAAATGAAAGCTTCTGTTCCGGTTAAGAATTTTTATCTGGTGACTGATCAATTAACTTTTCCAGGCTTCATACGAAAACGAAAAAAAAGAAAAAGTTGACTTGACACGTGTGAAGAAGAAGCTCGAAATGGATATCAGCGTAAGTCGATTACTGGTAATATTCAGTAAAACCAATGTTCACCAGACCTTGTTGATCCCGAATATGATTACGTGAATATTCAAAATTGCGGAAGAAAACTGAAACATTTAAAGTGATTTTGTTCTTAGGAATTAGAAGTAGCTTTGGACCACGCTACGAGAGCAAACGAGGACGCACAGAAAAATGCCCGAAAATATGCCGATCAGATTGCGGAACTGCAAGCTGTGATCGACGAAGAGCAACGAAGACGAGAAGAATTCCGGGAGAACTTCCTGAACGCAGAGAAAAAACTTGCTGCTGTACAAATGGAAAAAGAAGATTTTATGGTTAAGTCGCTTCAGGTTCGTAGCCAGGAACTTTTGCGGATTTCTAGTAATCACCACATTCGCTCAAGATATTAAGTGTTTCAGCTTGAAAGAGGTAAAAAACAAATCGATGCCGAAGTTAACGAGGCTCGTGCACAACTAGATGATCTCACAGCCCAAGGAAATGACTTGAGCGCAGCTAAAAAGAAGCTCGACGGTGACGTACTTCTTATTAAGGTACATAAGACAGCCACAATAAATTGCTGCCAACGCGGACACCTTGTCCAGATACCTCTATTATTTGTCTAGCTAGTGGTGTTTAATTACCTATTTCATTTTCTTTGAAGCGAAGTGAGAACCAACCAACTACAAGTGATTTTTGCTAAACCTATCCGCTAAAATCATTACTCTAGGCACAATTTTACAGACTGACCTGGATGAAACCTACACGGAACTTCGAGCATCTGAAGAACGTGCTAAAAATGCTGCCTTAGAAGCTGCTCGTCTTGCCGAACAGCTACGTCAAGAGCAGGAGCGCAGTCAAATTGCAGAAAGGGAGAGGAAAGGCCTAGAATTAAGCATCAAAGAATTGCAAGCTAAGATTGACGAGGCCGAAACTGCCATGTTGAAGGGCAGCCAGAAGGCTATTGGCAAGTTAGAGCACCGTGTTAAAATGCTTGCTGGTGATATTGAAGGAGAAAAGCGCCGTTACCAAGACGCCATGAAGAATGTAACAAAGCAGGATAGGAAGGCTCGTGAACTTCAGTTCCAGGTTGAAGAAAATAAAAAGAGGCTTGATCAACTGCAGGAAGTAGCAGAGAAGCTTCAAGCCAAAGCTCAAGCGCAGAAAAAGCGATCTGACGAAGCTGTAAGCTAAAACTTCAGTACCAATTGGTTGCAAAATTACTTAACGCAACAGCCAGAACTTTCGTCAAAAAAAAAAAAATTGTGAAACCAAGAAACCAATATTAAGAAATAACAGTTCCCAGCGTCATAATACAAATTAATAAACAAATGTAGATATTTCAACAGATAGATCATAATTTTGTTTTTTCCCTCTCTCATATCTCTAATTCATATATAGCTTATAAATACCACAACATTTCAAAAAAGATGAAAAATTTCAGGAGGAACTGGCCAATATAAACCTACAAAAATACAGGCAGCTCCACACTGCATTAGAGAACGCTGAAGAGAGAGCCGAAGCTGCAGAAAATGGTCTACAAAAGATCAGATCAAAGAGCCGAATTGGTGGCAATTCAGCTTCACAGAACCGCGAAATCACCCAAGCCAACGACATTTCCAGTCAGTAAATATAAAGCACAACAGATAAACATGACTGTCATTGTAGCGAAACTTCTTTCTTTACAAATAAAATGATGGATCCTCTCAACTCTACTACCACTGTCATAAGCATAAAAAAACTGTAATCTTCTGCAAAAACTTCACTGTCCTGACTCTCAAACTGCGAAAATTCACCAACCTCTGCAAACCACACTCAAACGTATTCGTCGAGCCGTAAAAAAGAAAACGCCCACTCCGTATATAACAACACCGACTGCTAGCCACTGTTTGAAACCAAACATGAAAAATTCAAGTAGTACACCTTCCTGCCGCGCCAACACTTCAAACATGAGCTACAGCTATGATAAAAACCGAGCACATCTCATCATCTTCCCCGGAAATGTTATCAGAACCATTTACCCCTACCTAAAATCCAGGTCTTCTGTTCTTTTTCTGTATTAGCGTAAAAAATGCTTGGAAGATCTGTCACTCTTTCCCAACAACTGTCACAAAATAACATCCGGGTCATCATTCTAACATCAATAAATGCACCCAACGCTCCACCTAAAGCGTACGCATAGAGTACTAGTGAATAGAAAATCACTCTTTTACTCTACAACATTGGAAAACTGAGTCTAATAAAGAGTGCATAAAGAATTGAGAAGAATGGAAACCTTTAAGTCTTCTGTTGTACAATTTTATCCAACAAGTAACATTAATAAATTTATCCAAAACCAAACAAACAACTTTGGAACCACGAGTGACAGCCAACAGATATCCAGCATGAATTTCATGAATAACTGATGTTACATTAGAACTATGCTGTTTAACGCTTCCTACGAAGTGAAAGTGTGTTACGACGGCGCCAACACTTCCTGCGCGAGCCACCGATAGTTGCAGAGTAGCGATGACCTTTCCCAAGCCCACGGCTCTTCCTCCCTGCTGACGTCAATCCACGAAGCTCGCGGTGCTTCTGGACTGGCTTCGTGATCCACTGCAGGTCAGGATTACGTCTAATGGCCTAAAAAAACGAGGTTGAAAAAAAAGCACCTACCCTTGAAAAATACCAAATAGTTTTTCTTACCTTATGAGCTGGGTCTATTAATATAACTTCATAGAACTTGTACGTTGAGTCCTGTCCTACCCAATATGAATTCAAAACTCTTAATCCACCGCATCGCCTACCGACACGTCCCTTAATTAAATAATACAATTTAATAAAACACTCGTGAGTAGTAAAGCGTAACCCTTGTTCATCAAAACGACAGAACACCAGTTTTAAATAGGAGAACGTAACTAAGAAACAATTAAAACAGTGCTTCCTAATCCTTCCCAAACTGTTCTTCTTTCAAGACAAAATTTTATTTTTAACTTCGGCTTGACCATTGTTCCTTTTCTCTATCCATTTAGGCATATTTACTGTTTTGGCAAGCAGACAACCAAAATTATGTGCATGACCCTCCTCTACAAAATTATGTACACTCCTAAAAAACTACCAAAAACAAAAAATTTAACAAACCCTCCCTTCCCTCACCACCCTCCGCAGAATCCCAATCAAACTCCCAACGGCCTCATTAAGAAATAGTAGAATAACGTAAGCAGAAGAAAACCAAGTTCCCCAAAAAGTCCCAAACTTAATTACTAAATTGGAATCCATACCTCAGCAACGGCCTGCTTGTTTCGAACAAATTTCAGCTCGTTTACACCATGAGTTTTCGGTTTGCCGTAAGTCTGACCCTTCACAACGTGCTTCTTACGGCCACCCCGTCGTACTCGTACACGATAAATAATAAATCCTACAACATAAAGAACTGAGTCAAATTTGCTAAGTGAACGCTAATTAAAGTCCACAGCTCTTTGATCGAACTCAGGAAAAGAAATAACTGTCTACAAGCAACAAATTTTACCCACATTTCAAAAAGCCCATAATTCTGACAATAAACTTCACTGGTTACATCAACTAAGTTAACGACCTTTTGTTCTTTATTATCAAAAGGTACGTTTTGAAAACTACATTTCTAAAAGAAAACAGGACTCGAAAAACTGCAGAACAAAACGTCTGCATCGTCTTATCCTCAGTCTTCTTCACAACTGTAGAATCACCTCATGGTAAAAAAATTAGCAACCCCATAAATCAGTAAATCAAAGGGAAACTATAACTAAAACTACCAGCCCTTTATTTGCTAAGTCAAGCATGAAAAAAAAAGTAAGACCAGATCCTATCCATCAAAATACTTGAAAATTTTTCTAACTTTAACTATAAGTTTCCTGTAACAGCTTAAAACAACTGTTTGCTAATATTTTTTCCAGCGTACTGAAGAAGAATAAGGACATGGTGCCTCGCACAGTGGAAAGAAATGAGCAAAATATGATGCTGTTCTCAAAAAGCTATTACCTGAAACACTAGGCTGATTACTCAGCATCAGTTTCTGCCCTTCATCCTTGCATATTCTTCAAAGTCCCTACTACACTTTGGTACTGTCAGTAAAACCAAGCTACGACTAATTCTTAAAAAACCCCAGTAAAACACCTCTTAAGCAAACTTCCTCATTTTCCAATTGCAATCACTCAAAATAAAAATCCTAACTTAGCAAAGAACATTTTTTGTTTTCCAGTTCTGAAATGACAAATTCCGACTAAATTCAGCTAGGTCCATCTGTCCTCTAGTTCAAAAACTAAAAGATATACTTAAATAAAAAATGCTCTAAGAAAAAACCTTTTTGCAGATCTCAAAGAGCACGACTTCATTGAACGTGTTGTTAATTATACTTTGAAAAAGCATATCTGTTTTTTCTTCTACGGAACATACAAAGCTGCTCCTTAAACTACAAAAACTTTTAATCCAAGTGAAGAGACTCTGAAGATCTTAAAACCAACTTCACGAACGTAACAAATATTGTTAACAAAAAAGTGCGGTAAATCCCAAATGAGAATACAACGACTAGAAAAAAAAAGCAAACGACCAGAAGACTAAGAGTCCTAGATGCAATTATGAACAAAACAGTTATAATCATTGCAATCTACTGTAACACCACTCATCGCTGTGAATCTGAGCGCTTCATTTGGCTAGGAAACATTAATAAACGTATGTATTTAGTGGTTGTTGATGATAACTTCATAATGGTAAAAACCAAACAAAAAAACAAAACGGATACCTTGCTTAGCTTTGTATCCCAACCTTCGTGCTTTTTCCGGCCGAGTTGGCCTTGAGACACGATGGATTGCAGTAAGTTGCCTATACTGCCAACAACGGATACGAAGCAGGTACCTCATTACCTGGAAAACAAAGCTGTTTTAAGCAGTTAACAGTGAATACTTTAGCAGCATATAAATGAAAAAAAATGATAATTGAGTTAACCTACATCCGACTGCTTTTTGCGCCATATTTCCTGCATATACTTATAGGCCCCCATGTTGTTCTAAAACAGAAGTATCAGTTCCAAACAGCATTAAACAGCCTTCTACCTACAAACGGCTTGCCAATAGTAAAATCCGGGATGACCAAATCAATCAAAATGGACTATTAACTGGGGGGAATCAAACGAAAGAAGTCATATGAACAAAAACAAACAAAATATGAAAAAGATTACTTCTGACAAACTTTAAACCTGAAATTAAAACAAAAGAGGCATATAAGTTCAAAGAATAAACTAAATTACTATTATACCTAGTAAACCAGAAGTCTCTTCTCTTCTGTTGGCAAAAATCACTACTCACTTTCTTCTCTATATAGGCAAACTAAGAAGGACCATGCACGTTTAGACTAAGGTCTTATTCTACTTTACCACTTATAATTAAAGCAGAATATAAGCTAATTTAACATAAGTAAAAGTAAATGACATGCAAATTTCCTTGTCACAGGCGAAGTACATTTGCAGGAAATCAGAGACGTCAAAAAACCACAAAATACTTCAGTGCGCAAAAAATGCCTAATTGGAGCTACTATTCGCTCTGTGGCACATCAAAACCCTTAAGAAACTTCAAACAGGTATTAGGCAAAAGGCAGTCACTAACATTTATAAAAGAACTACACCGAGCAGTAAAATGACTTTGGTACATGACACCAACAACACAGACTGCAACTTTGTAATCAAAACATTCGAGTAAGGAAGCCGTGAAAAGTTGAATACTTTACTCGGAAAATATCCGACTCGATACGCTTAACAAAATTTCTCGCGACAACCCTAAACCAGTTCACCATTACAGTAAACTGTCATTTAAAATTGTCCGTTGCAGGACCAAAATTTTTGAACGATGCAGCTCAATTTTTAAATGTGGAAAATCGTCGTTTTTGCATTATGCTTAGTTGGATTTGAAAAGTAACGCGCGGTGGAGTGGTTCCTAGCGTTTCTTCAAAAAGTCTACAGCTTGTCGTCGTAAGCCAGCGATGATTGGATACTGGTTCAGAAAAATAAAGTTGAAAAAAGCTCCTAAAAGGATTTTTAATTCCTTTGTACTCACTCTGGTCAGAGGTGTAGTTTTTTTTGTGTGGTGTCAGGAAACATTTTAGAAGAACGGGATGGGAGACATATGCCAAAATATTGTTTGTGAAAATAAAAATATTTAATTAATGAAATCATTAGCGCACTACTCACCAGGCTTTTGACCTAAGGATGTTGCATTATTTCTTTTTGGCAGTTTTAGGCTTCAGGTGTTAGTTTTTTTGATTGGCATTGGAGATAATTTTAGGTCTTTTCTTTCGAATATTTAAGAAGCGTGAATGACTGTTTTCTAGAAAATGACAAGGAAAGAACTTTTCTGAAGTTCTACCAGGGGACATGTTGTGTAAACACCCACCGACTATTACAGTTTTCCCATCTTTCCACATGCACTCCCTTGTTCATAAGTAATGATGAGAAATAAAACTATGAGGAGAGGGTTATAGGTGTATAGATCACTCTTTCTGAAAACAGCGGAATTTGACAGGAAGTTTTTTATGAGTAATGATCGCCTGTAGGAGGAAAGCAGTTGAGGAGTAGGCGAGTTAAGGAATGCGAATTCAGGTCATGTTAAATATAGTCGTAACAGTCTATTGGCAGCCCTCTGTATTTATCGCATCTTCTTTTGGTTTCTGTAGACATGCGTTATTGTATGAAGATTTAAGTGGTGTAACCTGTACTCGGTCTTGCTTCTAAGTACCTTTTTGGTTACCATGGTGAACTAGTAATTTAGACTTTGTGAGGTGAGTAAGTGTTCAAACATTTTAATCGCCTAACAGAGGTGAAATTTTTCGCATTCTGGGGTTTTCATCAACAGGAAAATATTTTTTAGGGGAAAGGAACTAAATAAGTGAGCCATTTCCTCTGAACTTTACTTTTTGAAATAATGGGTATGCTTTCAGAATTCTTCTCTTCCTTGCAGCATATGTTATTTCAAGCCCTTATCGCTATACTTTTCAGTACTTCTTCCAAGTGAACTGTTTAGACAAATGCGATTTGAACCACACTTCAGAAAATTCAAAGTTAGAAGGACGATTAGATAATTTGTATTTTTAGTGGTAT